TCAATCTCTTGCGACTAGAACATATAGCAGGTTTGTCGAACTTATTTGTCGTTCGCCTGTTTCGGATAGCTTTTGTGCGAGTTTCGGGATTTGCATGCAATACACTGAGAAAGTTCATTAGCGAATTAAAGTACATCTGAAAATAGCTTGTGATAAAATTTGTTGTAATATATCTGATGTTGTTGGCAGATTACGTTGAACGCAGCACCTAGAGATGTATATGATAGGCAAAGTCTGTGTCGCATCCCATGTTCTTGTATCCGAATACTCAAGGCCTGGTAGTGTCTCTAGCAGTTCGTATAACAGTCACTTTCGCTTGGATGTCGGTGTACTTAATTCAGTTCGTAAATGTAGCCCAGCTTGTGTTGAATATCGGTTTGATCAGTGTCACTCGATTACGAGATATCTGTCTATGAGAAATATAGATTAGAATACTCTGTAACTATACTTTGCATGCACCCAGACCCTGCATCCCTGAGGGATCGTAGCCTGAGCGATCCTAGATCACTGCTCTCTGGTTGCTGTATAGGCTTAATAGGAATATAGTGACACCTGCTATCAGACGTATATACTCACTATCACTGTCAACTTTCTCATAGACAGATATCCCACCCCCTCTCTCGTCTATGACATAGACCAACTATTTTCGGGCAGCACAGGCACCTTTCTTGTTTATATCAGTGACAGTCACTGTTGTCAATAGATAGTCAGCAAAGAGATGCTTGACCAGCGACATGATAGCTTGTTTTTCCTGCAGGCAGTTAACTGTTGATATTCTCTATGAACAATAAGTGGTTGTCAGCCTATAAGTGTGCTACGGCTGTGAGTGAATAACTAACTGTGCACGTCTGGAGTGGCAATTAACTTGTGGTAATAGTGAGAACGAAGGGGCTGCGATGATTGCCTTGTATGCGGATACATGTTACTCGACATCACACTCTAGTCACACTAGTCTAATTAATCATCACACTATAGCTTTGGCGCTACATACTGGAGATATTCCAGAGTTTATCATCTTATACTATTCGAATCACTCTAATTCTGGCCCATTGCAGGACGAAGGAAGCGAGAACAATCTCTACGGCACTGAAGTAGGCATAAACTGCGCTGGTACATTAGTCATAGTAGGCGAACCGGGTGCAGACGAGCACCACGGACGAGCGGATGTGTATGAGAGAGAGTACGAGGATGCGATGGCCGCTGCTAATGATGAGGAAGTAGCACAACAGTCGTACATAAAGTCAGCGGTCTCCAAGCAAAAGTGGCGCTATATCCACTCGCACAACCCTGACATCGGTAGGTATTATCAGAATGCATGTTTAGTAGTTTGTTTGAAAGCTGGTGGACAGGCTTCCTGGAAACCTGTGCAAATAGGCTGTTTTTTCTGACATACCGTTCCGCACATAGCATGCACACCTCGACTTTCAAATCATATATTTCTTCTAATTTTCTGTTCCGTGTATATGATGTAACCTCAAAGTTTGTATTGTTTGCTCATTCTCATTCTGTCAGAGGTTACAGAGCGCGGAATCGATCGCGGCTTTGGCATAAGTCTGAGCATGGATGGGGATGGGAGTACAATAGCCGTGGGATCTACGTACCACTCACTCAATGTGTTCGAATTGGCTTTGACAAGTATGCCGTCATAGCCACAGTCGGAGAACCGGACACCACTATCAGTCACGGTGCCCAAATGTAAATATACACCACTGAATAAGCAATTAGTTAAGGTTATTAAAAATAGTATCTCTTAACTGCGCCTCTTTCACTTGAACTGATTAGTGGCACAGTACACACACCAGCCTACACACACCAGCCTAATCGCTCCCGAAATAGCTTCTGCTCTGTCTCGAGAATCTACTTGTGTTCGTGAACCAAAAGTCGCACGAACAGCGAATGTGTTCTACATAACGGCCAAGCAAGCGCATAAAGCCGCTTGAGGAGCACGAGACACTTTTCATCCGGACCTGCGCTATTGTCCGGTGCCATATCCACTGCCTTGTACTCTTGGCTGATTTGTTGTAGTGAGGCTCCCGTTTGTACAACAACCTGTGCCAGCGACAGATTACAACGACGAGAGAATCTGTGTACCGCGATGAGTGTAGTAGCTAGTGATATAGCGGCTCTCTAGTCAGTTTGCACAGAGTACTCGATTGGCTCACTTGCACCGCCGGGAAAGTATTCGAAACTGTGGAACGAGTTTGCAAGTTGGTGCATGAGAGTGTACGCCAGATTTGTGGTCGAAGCTCAACTACAAATGCCATAGTCGCTTCAGCAACACTCTCGCTGAATAGAGTGATCGCAGGTGTTGAAGTGCCGAATAGAGGCATTGACCTTTTGTGTGTGCTGCCGGCACCATGCTCAAGCAACTTTCTAAAAAGAGTCAATTGCCGCAAATCCACTAAATTCCTTATCCATTATTTTACAACAACGATATGAATCGCCTGTCACAGTATTCGTCAATTAGATCCAATTTCTTTGTCAGCCACTAGTCTACAATCTATCCGCGGATTTTGAGAACAGTCGTGCCTTATCACAACTTTTTGTCAATCTGGAAACTACGCAGCCAACAATAACGCGAAGTTTAGGAACACCTCCACTAGTATTGACAACACTCCGTCTCATTATCACAACTCTCTCGTAGAAGCACACAGCTTGGTCGTGTACTTTTTCTTCCACGCAGACAAGTCTTCAAAGACCTCTTGCGTAAACAACAAAACTCCTCGTATATTTTAAATAATCTGTATGTACGACAAAACCCTCCATATAACACAATAATCCGCAATGAGGCCACAAGTGTGTGATCTGCTAATGTAATGCGCGTGAGATGATAGTTCCGATACACTTGAGTCCGATACCTTTCAGTGTGTTTTCTTGAAAACAGCAACAGTCGTAGTCTTATAAAGTACCAATGACATACAAACAGTACATATGGCTTTAATTAACTCCAGCTTCGAGATGACAAATTCATCTCCTTGTGCCACACTCAAAGCACTCGAAGCACTCGAAGTTTGACAAGAACCATCTGCCCCGATACAGGGACGGTCATTACAATTTACCGTACCCCGCCCATCTCTCGGCTATAAAAATCATTAAGAAAATCTAAAGCCATGACCTCATATAGACAAGGATTTGCCTGATTCATAGTATCATTCTCTCGGCTATAATAGTCATTAAGATAATTTAAAGACATGACCTCATATAGACAGGGATTTGTCTGATTCATAGTATCAACACAAACGAAGCTCAAACGAAACACACAAACGAAACAGATGTTAATTGGTTTGCCCACCCTGTGCCACTGTGGCCTGCGCCCTGCGGTGACATAGCCTCCTACATAGCCTTCTAAATCAAACAGAAGGCTATGCCTCCTACTAAACTAAAGGTGCACAGGCGGTATAAATAATCATAGCCTCATGAAAATAGAACATAAATAATTAGAATATAAAACCCTAAAACCCTAAAAAAAACAAACTATATATAAAAAACACTGAAACCCAACAAAGGACGATATTCATATTTAGACGATCAGTTGGCGATCCGACAACGATATTTCGAAAATCTGGTCACCTCACAATAGTAGAGTGTCTGCACAGTGCACACCACCAATAGTTGAATATAAACAATCAACTACATGCGTCTATTTGTGTACTGACGAGGCCTTGTTACATGGAGTAGTAATACCACTCGTATCACGAACTCTAGGTTTAAAATTTTACCTTGTTGCGAAGCGTATATTCTCACGAATGCAAAGTATAGAAGAAGACTTCAACCCCAAGTCTAAATTCAATCAATCAACGAACACACACCTATAACTATGGATTCCGCAACGGAATCCGAAACGAGTACCTACGGGCGATTCAAGACAGAAGAAGAGGTTTTAAAAGGCCATGGGGTCCAAGCAGTGTGGCTGATTGAGTATCTCTCCCATCTGGTGTGCCAGGTGTGTATTATGGTCTCCGTTGAACTGTTTGCAACATGAACGACAAGCGTGTAGACATATCATGTGCCAGGTGTGTGTGTGTTTCTGTTTTTAAATTGTTCAGTATATGAACAAGAAGTGCGTAAGCACATAATTGTTTGGCTTATCGACCATCTCTCTCATTTGGTGTGCCAGATGTGCATGTATACAAGTCTTCATACCCTTTAAGCACATTATCAACAAATAAGCGATCATGAAAACGGATATTGCATGCCGTTGAGATCGTATAGAATCCATGAGATAGGAACACCGCGCCTGTACTCATAATTATAGCCTCTCCTCAAATTAATGATTAGCTTCAGCTTTGGTGTAGTCGCATCCAAGTTGATAGGAAACTCTTCATAGTTGCTGGTCTTTATTCCCAATATTCCACTCTGACGGTTATCCGTCATGTACCTGTTGCTTATGAATTAGAAGGTAACGACACGGGTTTTCTATATAGCTTTGTGATTGATCTAATTGAAGCTTCAACTTGTAAGTGTTTTCCTCCTGATGGTTGTAGTGCTCTCTGCCGTGCATTGTCGATATTCACATAATGGCTTTCTGTCGTACGTGCTGTCTGTAGAGATAAACAACATACAAAAGATTTCCAACCAAAATAAGAACCAAGTGTATTTATTGTTCTTTCCTGTGATGGATATCCAAATAATGGCTTTCTGTCGTACGTGCTGTCTGTAGAGATAAATAACATACAAATTATTTCCAACCAAAATAAGAACCAAGTGTATTTATTGTTCTTGCCTGTCATCTTATTGCCTAGAGTTTAGTTTGGTGACGATGAGATACGTGCGATATCTCCGCTTTGCGTGATATGGAGGTCACTTCGCGCTAGTCGTGCTTGCTGACGTGAGATGAGTGTTCATTTGCTTCGCGCTTACGCTAATGTTTCAGTTGGTGCACACACAAGTGTATAAGGCAATTCTGCGGTGTGTACTCATTTCCCTGCTTATTTATTACCCGCTTCCAGTATGCAGCTAACGGTCTTCCCACAGAAGCGCAATACAATCATTTGATTACTACTAGGGATGGCAGCGGTATAGCAGATGATGAACTAGACAAAGTTGTTCTAGAGCGTTTCCTGATTGCCAGGGCGTACCACAACCTTGCTACTCTCTATAATACCGGGGTGTGTCTATTGAATTTTTTTGTACGAGTTTTGTGTTGGATTGGGGAGGCATTGAATGGGTGCAAAAGATACATTTGCGTATTTTTTTATCCATAGGCCATGTCAAAACCTATAAATATATAGACCTATTGTATACTTATATGTATGTATAAGTCTATGTCTATGCGTATGTATTT